GCAGCAACCCTGGAGCTGGGGGGGGTCACAGCACAGGGTCAGCCATCGTGCAGCATCCCTGAAGCCAGGGGGGGGTCACAGCACAGGGTCAGCCATCGTGCAGCACCCCTGGAGCTGGGGGGGGTCACAGCACAGGGTCAGCCATCGTGCAGCACCCCTGGAGCTGGGGGGGGGGTCACAGCACAGGGTCAGCCATCGTGCAGCACCCCTGAAGCTGGGGATTAAGGGCCTTGCTCAGGGGCCCACAGACATCTGATTATTCTGCTGAGGCTCGAACCGGCAACCTTCTGATAACAGCTACAGAGGCTGAGCCCACTGAGTCACTTCCATAAAATTAAGCTCATCAGAATGGCTGAAACTACAGAGCCTAGTGAAATAATGCATGAACCACAAAACCTGAAAAGTGCAGTCTGGTTTTTGCTGGCAACTTTTATGGTGTTTTATCTGGGAATTTTATTGCCAAGATTTCAAGACACTGGAATAGAACACACATGTACGTCAAAATGCCATACACTGCAGTATAATGTCAGAATGAAAAATGGTATGAAAAACTACATGGCGCACAAGAATATTTTGATGTAGCCTAAACCAAAGGCACTAGATTGCTTGATGTCGTTTAAGTTTTAAGCTATTTCTTCACTTAAGATATTTTATGCACATAAACCTGTTACCTGTCTAATCCCAGTCATTTGGTTTTTAACGTTATACCACAATTCAGAGGACTTTGTTATTGCTGCGGGCGTTTCTATCCTGTGGGTAGCTAAATAACTAAAACGTGTTGTTATATATTATCGTCTCCTCGTCGTTTTGCTCACTTAAGACAGGAGCAGGCTGATGCTGTAGGCTTCACCCTCGTGGTCAGTCACACATAACAGACTTGGGCTGCTGTGCGACCGTGACCTGGGAACGCATCTGCATCATTCATTATCAATTTTCTTCAAAATGATAAATCTATTATCTTATAAAAATTTGAATGGCTTTTTAAAATTGAGTTTCGAAAGCCCTACTGTGGAACCATGGGAAGATTTTAGTAAGGACTTCCCTGGCACGCTGTGTCCATCTCCGGCATCATGGTCCACATTTACATTAGCAGCATTTAGCAGACACTCTTATCCAGAGCGACTTCCTCTTTCCTTTTTTTTTTTTTTTTAAATTCAGTCCCCCTGGAGAAAGTTGGGGTTAAGGGCCTTGCTCAAGGACCCAATGATAGTAGTGCCAGAGGTGGGACTCGAACCCATGATCGCTTGATCCAAAGGCAAGCATCCTAACCACTAGACCACCAACACCCAACACCCTCCTGATCTTCAGAGCTGCTGCAGGATGTATATTGTAAGCGAGTGAATGTGCTGTGATGGACTAGCATTCCACCAAAGGAGCTTAATGTCCAGTCTCCTGTGCGTCCTGGGATACGTCTACCGGCTCTGCGTCACCCGGCGTCACATAAGCGTTTGAAAGACGAATGAATGAACAGTATACAAGCACCACAAAACAAAGATAGCTGTGGAAGACAGAGGCAAATTAATTCAAACTCACAACAACAGTCAGTTGCTGGGTGCATGAAGCACATGTCAGTGCTGCATTAATGAGGGAACATATGCCAGTAAAGGGATGCACACTTCAAAGAGAAGAAGCTGCTGAAGCAGGCAAAAACCACGGCCAGGTCCGCCTCAGTCCAGATGTGGAGGAAACTTTCATTTGTGTCGTATGATAGACACCAAAAATATGCCTCTCAGTTTGATGGGGGAAAATAACACCAAAAATGGAGCACTTGGAACAATACAGAAGTACATCCATTGTTATTTCAAGTGTCAGGGCCTTCAAAGGCCAGTTTATGAGGAGGGAGGAGATGAAAGGGGCTTCATAGGGCCTGAAGTGCATGAGACTCTACTGCCAGCAGAGAGAGAGGGGGAGAAGGAAGGAGAGAGAGAGAGAGAAGGTCGCAGAGAGAGAAGGAGTGAGAATGAGTGACAGGCAGATGGAAGCAGGGAGAGGGAGGGAGAGAGAGAGAGAAAGCAGCAGAGAGAGAAGGAGTTAGAGGGAGAATGAGAGAGAGAGAGAGAGAGAGAGAGAGGAGTAAGGAGTAAGAGGGAAAAGGACAGAGGGGAAGGAGTGCAAGAGGACTGAGAGGAAGATTAAGAGGGAGGGAGAAGGAGGCAAGAAAGAGAATGAGCCAGGGGAAATAAGGAGTGAGAGAAGGAGTGAGAGAGAGAAGGGGAGAAGGGGAGAGAGGGAGAAGGAGTGAGAGGGAGGGATGTGTGGCTGAGGATGCACCGGAGCTCAGCACACCATTACGGCCCATTTCTCAGTACGCCATCACCATTTAACCATCCTATTTCCTGCCAGAATTATCGAGTGAAACTACAGCACAAAAAGCTGATAAACACAGTTACCCCTCACACACAAACTCACATAAATGTCATGAATCGCTAAGACTTACCATCCATGTTCTAGCCAACCCACCTTAACCGCTCATCACAGCCTAACCGCAGAGAGAACATCCCACAGGCTGCGGGCAGATGGCGCCTTACCCGACAGAGCCTTACCCGGCGGCGATTTACCCGGCGGCGCCTTACCCGGCGGAGCCTTACCCGACAGAGCCTTACCCGGCGGCGATTTACCCGGCGGCACCTTACCCGACGGCGATTTACCCGGCGGCGCTTTACCCGCTGGAGCCTTACCCGCTGGAGCCTTACCCGGCGGCGATTTACCCGGCGGCGATTTACCCGGCGGCGATTTACCCGGCGGCGCCTTACCCGACGGAGCCTTACCCGGCGGCGCCTTACCCGACGGAGCCTTACCCGACGGAGCCTTACCCGGCGGCGATTTCCCCGGCGCGCGCTTTACCCGATGGAGCCTTACCCGGCGGCGATTTACCCGACGGAGCCTTACCCGACGGAGCCTTACCCGACGGAGCCTTACCCGACGGAGCCTTACCCGGCGCCGATTTACCCGGCGGCGCCTTACCCGACGGAGCCTTACCCGGCGCCGATTTACCCGGCGGCACCTTACCCGACAGAGCCTTACCCGGCGGCGATTTACCCGCCGGCGCCTTACCCGACGGAGCCTTACCCGGCGGCGATTTACCCGGCGGCGCCTTACCCGGCGGCGATTTACCCGGCGGCGCCTTACCCGACGGAGCCTTACCCGGCGGCGATTTACCCGGCGGCGATTTACCCGACGGAGCCTTACCCGGCGCCGATTTACCCGACGGAGCCTTACCCAGCGCCGATTTACCCGACGGAGCCTTACCCGGCGGCGATTTACCCGACGGAGCCTTACCCGGCGGCGCCTTCCCATTCTGCTTCATATCACGGCCCCTTTGTCTGGAGCCTCGCCGGAGCTTCACACTCAAACTGAAATGAGCCATACCCAAAGGGGGCCTCCACACTGCAGCACGTTAACAGGTTATCCCCAGATTACCGCCGCAGACACACACACGGCTTCGTGGGACCCTGCAGGCCTGCCTCTCACACTATGGCCTGTCCACAGTCCTAAATCCTCTTAGCCGTCAGGAGGCTGTTCCTGCAAGCGGGTGACACGTCCTTCTTCTCCGTCAGTCTCACCCAATCCTTCTTGATATGCACTTAGTGTTCATTTGCGATGATGGTCATACGAATCTGCCACCCAAACAGGACCGAGGTGGAGGAGGTGCAGGGTTCAAGCAGACGCCAAACCCCAGTGCCCTGGCGCCAGGCTAATTTCACTTTTCCCAAAGCAAAGCCTTCACAGCAATTTTCCTGCGCACTTTACACGCCCCGCCCTACAGGACTCTGCCGGCAAACCTCAATTTAATACCATTTTAAAAGGATGAAGGCATCTGGGAGCCTCTGACACGCGTGTGAAGGCCTCGTCTGTGGCTTCAATGCTGCAAATTTTCTTTCCTTGCTATTTCACTCAAAAGTGGACTTAGCCCCCGACCTCGCTTTCATTCCTCCCGAAGTCTGCCCCCCCACCCTTGGGCCTCATGTCAAGTGATGGGAGGCGTCTCCACGGTCACCATGTTCACACCGGAAACACATAGACAAGGAAGGGGAGGAGGGCTTCCTTCAAGGCTTCCTTCAATAAAATCAGGCAGTGCAACTACGGCCATGAAAATTAACAGTATTTTATCCAATATCTTCTCTAATTTGATGTCCAATGAACCACAGAGCGGCTGGAATAGAGCATAAACAGCGAGGACCGCCGAACCAGCTCCTGTTTGGCCGGGGCCTCTTCCCCACGGCGGGAAGGCAGTGACTCGCTCCGATGGAAGAGGCCCTCCCCCTACCCCCCGCGTATCAGCACCCCGGGCCCCTCACCAACCCAAAATGAGCTTCTGATTTATCGCGCAGCTCGGCGCCTGGGACCCGGCGGAGTGCATTTACAGGAATAAACCCAGGGAGATTCTGCTTGTTTTCACTGCGGAAACACAAATCAGGCCGGCAGTTACCATCCTTTATGAGCCATAAAGCCGGGTTTTTCCCGCGTTGCGGGTCGTCAGCGATGCGACGGGCAGCGCGCGCAGGCCGGATAATAAGCACGCTCCTTTGTTGTGTTTACACCCCCACTATTAGGACCTGCTAATGGGATGATTAGTCACATGGCATGGAGGGCGCCCCCTGTGGCCAATCATCAGCATCACAGGTCCCTTCCAAAGGGAGCAGAAAGATATTAAATATTAATAAGGATCATAAACACTATTATATTACAAACATAATAAGGGGGAAGTAGGGGGTGACACAGTGGTTCAAGTCTCTGCCAGGGTTCTATGTGTGGAGTTTGCATGTTCATTCTGTGTCGCTGTCCAGTCCCTCCCACAGCCCAAAAACAGGCTAATTAGAGTTGCCAAATTGCCCGTGTGAGTGAATGGTGAATGAGTGAGTGGTGAATGAGTGAGTGGTGTGTGCCCTGCGATGGGTTGGTGCGCCATCCGATGTTGTATCCTGCCTTGCACCTGTAGCTCTCTGTAGCCCCCAGGATAGACACTGAACCCCCCAGAACGTTGAACAGGATAAGCAGGTACAGAAAATGGGTGGATGAAGTGAAACTATCTAGTCCACCTCTGACTGCAAGAGGAAGGAGAAAGACATTAAAACAGCTTTAATCTCCAAATGCGCAATATTCCTACAGATTAGGATTGGGAAAGAGACGGACACGACCGTTTGTGAAGCCTGAAGGAAAAGCGTCAGCTGACTGAGCCCTGGTGCTGGCAGTCTGTTGGCTAAGCCCAAAAGCTCCTTGTGGGATTCCTCCTCTTGGGAGCAAAGGAGGAGACCCCGCAGCTGTAAGCGAGCCCTTCACAGGGGCGAGACGCCAAAATCCAGCAAGAGCAATTCAACGGATGCAAATGTCAGAATCTTGATAACATATGAAGTCAGTTCAGGCTGCCGACGGCAAAGTAGATAAGGGGACAATTTATATTCAGCTTGATTCTCACGTCTGGAAATAAGGCAAGAAGTGAGCTAACCCACATAAAACACCAGCAAACACTGGGCCGCATATTCGCCGCGCAGCTACATCCTGCTTTACGTTCCAATCAGCGGCCATAAATTTCACACGTGTACGCTGGCGCTGTGTAACCTCATTCCCAGCCATGGCTGATAACGGCACAGAATTACACTTTCAGCTTTGACAGAGAGATTACTTAAAGCCCCCCCCCTCCGCCAAAATAAAACTCACAAGCTGCTCAGAATGAGAGACCCCCTGTCCACGGGCACAGACGTGCCATCATGCTATCAAACGAGGGCTGCCGTGTGTTTACCAGACGCTTAAAAAGGAGAAAATTTCACTTTATGTAAAAACGCATCACTGTCTGGGTGGTACGGACGTATTTCTGGCAGTATCTATTCTTAGTCAGGCATTTCTGCCTTTTCGGCTCCTGTTGATAAACAGACTGGAGGGATCCTCTCATTCACAGCTAGCGCTGGAGGATGTCCAAGTCTGCCACCGTCCAGTCCGGAGGAAGGAGCATCCAGCTCCCTGCATAAAACGGGGGCCAATGGGAAGCCACAGGCTCCCACACTGAGCTGTCAGGACACTGCTTCAGGGTCAGAGGAGCAGCAGAGACAGGATCGTTCTCATCAGGAGTCGGCCATGCCAAGGTCACCAAGAGAGGGCGCCACTGAGCACACCCCCCCCACACCCTCAGACACGACGATCTGCGACATCCTAGCAACCATCTGTGAAAATATCATTACAGCGTTCATGTGACTGCAGATAAAATGCGTTTTAAGTGACTTGAAACTCAAAAAACCCTCAATTATACCCTTATTTTTAATTAGACGATTCAAGCTAAGGATGAGCGTGTGTCATTCAGTTTCACCATATTTTGGTCGTGAACCATTAGTCATTTTTCCTTCACTAACACTAAGCACAAACACGGCCGCCTACCTCACAAACCATGAGCGTTAAGGGAGGAAACACTTCTTTGCTCTAAAGCTCATCGAACCAGAAGAACGGCTTCCGTTCAAGACAAAGCCATTACCAAAGGAATAGTAATGCAGCATTAGATACACAGCCGGTCAGAGCTGGGTGCATGAAGCACACCCCACAGCACTCCATTATTACGCCTTTACCCACATCGCCCCCTGCAGGTGATGGACAGACGTGCACGGCTCCACTCACTCAGCTTCTTGGCGGCTTCCAGGGCACCAGAGGACGAGTCGGCCACAAAGAAGCGCTGGACGGCGACGCCACTCTCCTGCATCAGCTTTTTGCTCTGGTACTCCTGCAGGTTGAGCCAGCGTCTGGGGTCCAGGCAGACCGCCTGCAGGGGGCGACAGTGAGTTAGCACAAAAGGGCAATCAGCAGCTCACACCTACCTCGCGCACCTCAGTTTATTAGTCGTCATTCCCAGCTACACCAAAGACGTTTACGCACGGATTCAGGTTACGTCCTGCGATCCCCTTTACAAGCAGGAATCTGGAATCCAGGTCCTTGCCCACCACTCTCAGCAGTTTCACTGTCGTGGCACAAGGTCCAAAGTGAGCGAGTGAGTGAGCACTCCAGAAGGTGATCTCCACCACAAAGGTCACATGACCCCTCAGGACCATTAGTCCACGATAATAATAGGCCTGGATTCCTGTGAAGTCAACCCACCAATCAATCAATTACACATTTGCTTATTACTGAAGCGTTAGAGCGGAACATCAGATTTCTTATTTTAATTTTTTTTTTTTTTTAGCGAAAGTGTTCCCGAGCATGATCTCTGCACCCCCTGCCAAGCAGGATGGGGGCAAGGCGTGGGCGGGTCGACCCAGACCTGCCAGGGCCCTCAGAAAGACGCCCTGCTTCGACGCAAAGAGGCTCCAAAAAACTCCACACGTCCTTCATCCAATCATGTTGACCGCTCATCACAGCCTCCGGGTCAGAGGTCAGAAAGGTCTCACACAGCTTTCTTCATAATGCTGTGTATGGCCACCCCACTCAGCGAGATAGAAATATGGGTGACGAGAAACAAGCTAACCTGCCTTGAGCCTGACAGGGATGCAGTGTCGAGCCCATAACGCAGTGATGCAGACCAGCCACACTGTGGCGCTGTGGCAGGCCAATGGACCCACCTGGAGCAGTGAAACCTGAGCAGCAGCACCGTCTCCTTTAGGGGAACTAATCACTCTCAAGATCCCATTACCTCTGGTCCGCCGCAGGTTCGGTCATTTTTTTTGGAAAACACTTAAAGAAAACATCTCCCCTTTAACGGTAAGTCTGATCGATACTCTGGTGAGTGTCATCCATTCAAGTCATCAAGGTCTAACGAGATCCGAAAGGAAATTTTCCGGGGTTGAAATTCATCTCGGTCGGCGACTGTCAGTACCTGAAGATTTTTCATGTTTAAGTAGCTGTACCTTTAAAAGCACTACATTGAAAGCAGGACCACTCTTTCAAAAAATGAGCCAAACTGCATGCAAGCGTGCTGAATATACACACATTTTAAGCAGCTACAACAAAGCATTCATCCAAGGCTCAGTTGGCCTCAGGAAAGAGACAGCTGTATAATTTATCCCTAACGCACAAACACAAGGGTACAAAACATATTCTAACTATAGTTCTGATATAAGCAAATCTGAGTCAAATATTTTACATGTAGATCAGAGGATTCAGGGATTTGGAAATGATTTATGCATGAGATAAAATCTTTGTTACTACAAAAAAGCACAGGGCATCCACACCCTTCCTTTGAGACAGGAAAACGTATAAAACAGCAAGAGATGGCAGGCATAATCAGGTTTAAAAAACAGCAGGGCGTGACCACCTGTCCCTAAGGTTTGGTTAAAAGGTGAAAAATACCACGTGAAATCCAGCTGGAAAGAGGAACACCATGCCAGATGGAAGTTGGGTCCACATATGCAGGTCTGGAGAGACAGGGCTTAAGCAGAGCAGCTAGCCCCGATCCTGAGGGGTTAAGGGTTAGGACGACAGGCGGACTGCCGCCCTGTGAGGAAGAACAAAAGGGTGATGCTTTCCTTTAAGGACCGGCACTCGGAGACAGAGCTGAAACTGCGTTAAACTGAACCTTACTGGAGGCCAATGCTCGTAAGTTCACTCCTTAAACGGCTGTACTTTCACACAGATGGCCCTATAAAATATGCAAGGACAGAGTTTATACTATAACATTTTCCCTACCTCCAAGACCGCTATGCCCATTTTCAACAATTCACACAAAGACACAAAGAAAGCGCAACTTGATTCATTATCTGGGGGGGGGGTAGCTTTGTGTGTCAGGACTGAAGTCACCATTGGGCTCTTGAATAAGGACCTTAACCCCAAGTGCTCTGCAGATGCTGAATTGGGAACACTGGGCTGGTGACCCTGCACTGTGACTCTGTGCATGTGTCTCATGAAGAGCGAGAGAGACGAAAACACAATTTGCCCCATGGGGATGAATTAAGGGTGGAGGGCACAGTGGTGTCATAGTCATTACCGGTGTGATTGTGCACCACGATATGGATTTCCATTTTACCGTTAACACCGCTTGAAGTCAACAGCCTAATTATACAACAGCCTTTATATAAAATCTAAAAAAATAAGCATTTTATTTTCTTCAGAGCTTCAGTTGTAATTTGAATACTCGTCCTTATATAGCATGTAACCGGTTTATCTGCGTGGTGTGAATTTTCTATCAAACACACTCTGACAAACCAAAAAATTTCAAAATAAACAAATTTTGTGTGATTATACACATTAAACAAAATAACCTGGTTAGACATATAGTAACAAATTCAAAATCACAATATATTCGTCAAATCAGCATATATACGTGCCGCTGTGTGGTAAACGGCACAACTGCCCAGTTAACACTAAAAGCGCCCCTTTCCCACACCAATGACCAGCAAACTCCTTTAACCCCCAAGTGAGACGCACTTCGGCGTTTGCAGCCCTTTCGTTAGCCATCAGGAGCCGTAATGAGCCAGCAGCGAATCTAACAGCCTGAACCGAAAAGCCGCGATGTTCCTACGAGTGGTGATTTCATGTTCGTCAAAGTTTACGTTATTTAACAACTATATTAAAGTAAACGTATTTTTTCTACAAATAACCTTAAGTGAAACAAAAAACGTAGGTTTTCAGGGCTGCCAGCTCTCACGCATCGGGCGTGACACTCACGCTTGACTCACGTGATACCCTGATATAGGGCTGTTCATTCGCGTCGCGATGTAATTGTGATTATATGGCACATGCGCAATAATCACTAGGCTTTAGGTCACAGGTGAGACATTTGTCCAGACGCCAGCTCTCAATGTTTCACCCGTCATCTAAAGCCCAAGTGATGATTCCACATGTGCCTTATTATCGTGATTACATCATGAAGTGATCGCGACAGCCCTAACGTGATAATAGTCACCGTCCAAACAGTGACAAAATACTTTGATAATAAATTTAGGTCATATTGCCCACCCCTAGTATGAATACAGTATCACTATTCAACTATACTAATATTTACGTGATAAAATTAACTAAAATTAAACCTGCAATATATTTTTTTCAAAGGGTTTTTTCCCCAACCCACTATTCCTTTAGAATCTGCTATGATCAGTAGATCAGTTGCTCCCTGGGATCTATTATCGGCTACTAAACCCGACCTAAGAGCTGAAATGTGGGGTGATCTGTAGTTACCAAAGACCAATTCTGCTCCACAAAACCTACGCCGGCAGCTTGCACTTCAGCCCCGCAAATTCCGTGGGAAGTGATTTCCATCAGCCTCTAAGGTGAGATGCGTGCTGAGGAGACTTTACACTGGGCTGGTACATTTGGCGGGGCGAAGCCTCTGCTTGCAAGCTGTAATTTCAAGAGAAGGCCCACTGCAGAAGCCTCCGCTTGTGAGGAATAATTCCTGGTGAAGGCCCACTTCAGAAGCCTCCGCTTGCGAGGAATAATTCCAGGTGAAGGCCTGCTTCAGAAGCCTCCGCTTGTGAGATATAATTCCTGGTGAAGGCCTGCTTCAGAAGCCACCGCTTGCGAGATATAATTCCAGGTGAAGGCCTGCTTCAGAAGCGTCCGCTTGTGAGATATAATTCCTGGTGAAGGCCTGCTTCAGAAGCCACCGCTTGCGAGATATAATTCCAGGTGAAGGCCTGCTTCAGAAGCCTCCGCTTGTGAGATATAATTCCAGGTGAAGGCCTGCTTCAGAATCCTCTGGCACTGACATCTTCCCTGCAGTCGTATGACAAACTCCCCACCTCACATGACTGAGCATGAAAGTAATTTCATGTGTAAAAGGCTTAAAATCATTACTAATTTGTGACGACAAGTCGTCAAGTGCCATCCTTGTCAAGTGCCTGTAGCATTTATAACATCCTGGTCTTCACATTTAAACATCTTTATATTTTAAAATGATAACACTTCACATTAACACATTAACCTTCATAATGCATTCATAAAACATTCACCTTCATATTGAATTCATAGAACATCCATAAGCAGCATGTAAGTATACCCTAACATCCCTTAACAGCTTTAAAATACATCATTAACAAACATTATATGATAGTATTGTATTATCATGTGTTTGATATCAATGTATATTAATTGCAGTTAATATAAAGAGTTACGTAACAAAGCCTATGGAATTAAAGCCAGTAAAAAGTTCTTCTCATTTAAAAAAGGATGGGCGATCAGATCAATATTATATTGTGCAATAATCACCAGGGCTTCAGATGACAGATGAAACATTTTTGCCGGACACCAGCTTTTCGGTGCTATACGGATTGATTGTTTACACCCATACTTTGCTGAGCAGATTAGTAGTACAGCTAAAATATTTATGGGGCATTTTATGACGCCTCAGTATAAATTCGGTGTATCCTTATGTTTAATAAACGTGTCAGATTTTAAACTGCAAAAAGTACCACCTGTTCCTTTCTCCACTGCTACTTCAGTTCATATCGCACTAAAGTACAGTATACCAAACCATACTATACCAAAACGGTATTATGTGATGTGATCTGGGCAGGGGCACCGGCCGAACGGACATGGTGCCAGCTACAGGGCAGGGGCACCGGGCCAATAGGACAGGGTGCCAGCTACAGGGCAGGGACACCGGGCCAATAGGACAGGGTGCCAGCCTACAGGGCAGGGACACCGGGCCAATAGGACAGGGTGCCAGCTACAGGGCAGGGACACCGTGCCAATAGGACAGGGTGCCAGCTACAGGGCAGGGCCACCGGGCCAATAGGACAGGGTGCCAGCTACAGGGCAGGGACACCGGGCCAATAGGACAGGGTGCCAGCTACAGGGCAGGGCCACCTGCCCAGCCGGATACAGCGCCAGCTA